TTCCCACAACACCATTATACTGATAAATTCTAAGCATAAATGAACGGAGAAAATGTTCTGTCCTCTAGAAATATTTAATTTCATAATATGATTCTATACCCGCCCAAGTCCAAAAATAAATGAATATATAAATACTTGAATAAATAAGTAAATGGATACATAAATAAATAAATAATATCGAATAAAATAAGACAACAAAAAAGTGATGAAAAAAAAGTAGATAAAATAATCAAACCAGAACTCCTCTGTCCCACAAGTTATCTTCAAAAGTGAACGAAAGACAACTTAATGTGATGAAGGAGGAGAACAAAGAAGATTCTAGAAGCAGCGACTGGGTGCGGTCGGGGGGTAGTCGAGAGACATTAACAGTATCCTATTCTTCTTCTTTCCCTGACAATGTATTTAGCCCAGTATACCTCGTAAAAGCGTCTTTAGTTGCGGAGTGATAAGATGGTACGGGGCCACGCCTAAGCGAAATCTGATTGGTTCGTTCTTTGATGTGTTTCTTCTTATTTTTCATCCGTATCCTTTTTTTTCTGTTTAAAAGTGTTTCTTATTTGACATAACATGGCCTTTTTTCCCGGAAAGGAAGGGGGGGGGGGGAATAGAGAGCTGATATTTGTACTTTTATTTTGTAAGGGTTTTTTTTCACTGTCCTTTTCGTAACAGGGTTGTTTTGGGGTTTTTCGTTTTTGTTTTTCTGGTGGGGGGGGGGGGGAGTTGTTTGTTTGTTTTGTTTTGTTTTAGGTTGTTTTTTTTAGAGGAGGAGGGGCCATTTTGTACGTTCTTTAATTCCCCCTCCCTCCCTTTTTTTCTTTGCTTTTTTATGCAGAAAAAAGGGGAGAGGGGGTGTCTTTATGGTCCTCAGAAACAGTCTTTTGTATCTCAATGGGCGTTGGCTGTGTCTCGTGATTTACTTTCACCGTTTTCTTCTCTACTTCTAACATCCTTTTGTGTGTTGTGTGATTTTTACATTTTTATTTATATCAGATTCTTGTCTTGCCATGCTCTCTTGCTGGATTTATCAGCTACTATTTTTATCGTTGCAGTTTTTAGTTTCTCGTTTGCGTTCTTTTTTGTGCCCATAATTTTCCCCGAAAGCGCGAAAGTATGGGATAAGACAGTAGGAGCCCAACGTGGTTTTGTTGTATTTTTAGAATGCTTGTGTGTGGCCATGTATGTGTGTGTGTGTGTGTGTGTGTGTGTGTGTGTATGTGTGTGTGTATGTGTGTGTG